TTTTTAATCAATGGTAAACTTTAAATTTACGATGAAATGCAACATAATACATTTAAGAGGTGAAAGATAATAACAATTGTTCTGCCCCTGAGCTGTTGGCTTTAAGTCACTGGGCAATTTCACTGGATAGCACAGTATTAATGTCTGAAAAGTCTGAAAATAAGTTGCTTTAAAGTCAGCATCAAATATTAACTAAATCTGCCATAATGCATACTAGCTACTCACTAGAAACTCATCARTGAGTAAAACTTTATTAAATTTACTTTTAATATTTCTGCATTTATTTCAGATTTAGTCAGTCGTACACTTAATTGTTTTCAGTGTTTAAAAGAGGACGTGTTAAAACACTGTCAAAGTTAAACGATACATCAAAGTTCATTACTGGCCCTTCGAGGGCCACCATAACACTCATGTGGCCCTTGGTGAAAATGAGTTTGACACCCCTGCTTTAGACAAATTAAAACTCCTGTGAGTTTGTTGCATTCAGCAGAAGATTAGGTTAAAAGTGTCAATCCTTGGCCATTTGTGGGCAGCTTCTAAAGCAGCACTTGAGCTGTAAATACCAAAAACTTATCAGTCTGTTTTGTTTTGCATTTAGTCCTTTAGTGGTTGTGGTTATAAGAAGGAAAAAAAAGCTGTGAATAAATGTCCTGTCGTGTGTTTTGTGGACCTGGAGAAGGCTTATGACCGTGTTCTTCGAGGCATTCTGTGAAGGGTGCTGCAGGAGTATGGAGTGCCTGGGTTGCTATTAAGGGCTATCCATTCCCTTTTTCATAAAAGGGGCAATTTTTGTTTTTCCTGACAACAGTCAGAATTTACACTGGGAGAGATTTATTCTGAGAGCAGAAGTCGTATCTATTTCTCTCTAGACTAAATCTTTAAAACTTTCTGACGCTTTTTGTATTATTTTTTTCTTGTCAGCAGTAAGTGAAATAAAAGATCTACTTTACACATGATGACAGTGTTCTTTCTTCTGTTTTAAGGTGAGTGGAAACAGATGACACACTACCCTCTCTGCTTTAAAAAATTCATCAGCCGAACAGAACAAAACAGGCAGAAAAGTAAATGACATCACTTCTCAACACATAAATAACTCCTGAAACAAACTGAAATGCATCAACCAATGTTATGTAATGCAACAGAACGGTGCAGATGCTAGATCTTTCCGTTAAAACCTTTCAGGAGATGCATCAGGGATGGCAGAGAGGGGATCCAAATTGACATTTGCTTCTTTTTTTTTTTTTATCCGATCAGCTAAAACAACAAATACACACATTAGCACTATCTGCAGCATGCTTTGCTTCTTGGTACCTGTCAGTGGGAGGGATAAGAGTTTTATGTAATGTCACATAATCCACTAGAAAGGATGAGAATACAGTACCTGTTGTCTTTAAATGGACAGGTCTTTTTCAGTTTTAATTGTGTGTTAGCAACCATTTTGAGCACTCATTTTTGGTTTGTTGYAAACAGTGAAAACATCATGTACCACTTTTGCCTTATTTTTATTGCCTGCCGCCAAACAAGAAGTGGTGCTGACGTTTTTGACCATGTTTGTCTTTCCATTAGCAACGTAGCACATAAAMCCCTGGATGAGTTTTAATGAAACTCTGAGAGTGACCATTAAATGTACACAGACAACTGGAATCCATGTATCATTCGTTCTTTCTATTTACAGTTGAAAAATAGACTGATTATTTTGTTTTGTTTTTATTTTATAACACCAAAAAAGGAAAAAAAAACCCTGATTTTCCATATTTCATTTTTAGTCTCAGATCAAAAACACAAAATGGAATATCTGGCACTAGGACAGGATTTTTGTGAAGTTTGACGAGGAGCGTTAGCAAACAACCAACGTTAGCTTGTCCACACTCCATCAAAGTTAGTGGCAGAAGAAACGTTAGCTTGTCACCCACTGTCAAAATTGTATAGATAAATAGTTCTAGATATCAACGTCCATGATAATCAAATTCATCAGGCTAAGACTAAAAAAAGAAGAAAAGATGTGTTTGATGGGGAAAAAAGGCTGCCCAATGCTGGGCATCTTAAAAGTAAAGACCAAAGAAAAAAACAGGAATACCAGTTAGCATCTTGTACCACCACCAAACACCAGCACATATATACCATTTCGTTATATTCATACATAATCTGGGCATCTTGAGGAAATTTCAGAAAAAGGTTGACATTAGATTAAGTTCGTGACAAAGTAATTTTGGATCACTGAATTTATTTTGATACCCTCCCCGTCACCCAGCTAACTCCACCATGGATGCAGTGTTACCTGTAATAGTTGAATAATATTGTTTTAGTTCCTGTTCTACAGTCATTTATTGATGCTGATATATTCTAAGGGGGCAATATCATGTAAAATCAACTTTTTTGAGTTTTATATCATGTTATAATGTTATCCTCTCATCAAAAAACATGCCCAAAGCCTTGCTTTGACTCATTCATGCATGTTTGAGAAATGCTGTGGTGTCCTCAGGCAGCCAGGCAGGGGACCAAAAATRACTGGTTGGGACTAGAACCACCTTTTGGGACCAACTCCTCCTCTGGGCTGTGTCTCCAAGCTGAGMTTCCTCATCACAGAGCACACCTTGCCTTCATGACAGCTTTAAACTTCTGCTTTGAGAATGTTTTTAATTCTTTGCAAATTCATGTTTTGATTTTAAAGGAAATCAAACAAATATTTGTTTTACATTCTGTGTATTTGGAGTATGTAATGAAAATAAAAATAACCATCATTCTTTTTGTTGAATGAAAATTGAAGGACCAATAAGAACATGGACAGACACCTGAGTGTACTTTGGAGTCAGTGTTATTTAAAATGGATACCAAAGCCATGCGACCTTATCAAACAGCTAATTTAACAGATACTGAGCTAAAATTTGACATGATGGTCGCTAAGAGTCAGGCAGAGGACATTCACATCTTGCAACATCACATTTGATCATGCAGCATCTTTTACAAGGTTTGTTCAAAACTCCTGTTCTCAACATAAGATGATCTTASAGTAAAACTCTGGCATGAAAGGCAGTGGGTGAWATGTGTTCCTATRAGCATTTTCAGTCTTAATTTGCAACACAAATGGCAGTTTACAGGGTTGCTTATAGCATTTCAAAGTATAATCTAAAAATAYCAGTCATTGTTTGATATAATAAAAGTATAATCACAGTAATTGACAAAGTCTCTATAATACCATTGTTTTTAATTATGTTGAGCTCAAAAGGAGCACACACTGCAAAAGTTTTAATGC